ACTGGTTTCACAAGGTCACTGAAGCCTTGGGTTCCCAGAGGTGGCTAGCAGAAACATAAGACTTAGTTTGCAGTAGCTCTTCTGCTGGGTGCTCTCCTAAGCTCTGAAGCATTGCTCTGGTGTGGAGGAACTAGAAAATTCATCCAGGCAGATCCTCTCAACCTCAGCAGCAGGACAGAAAGATGAATTTAGGTCAGTTGTGAGCCCATAAGAAGTCAGTTGCACTGGTGGATACAGTTAAATAAGGAAGCAGCAGCTCTTCACACTACTTGTGTCTCATCTGTTCCCCAGCATTGCACATGTACCTACCCATTCCCCATGCCATTGAATCACAGACCATCACAACAAGAGGAGGAAGCGAAAGGCAGGCCATGGTGAAAACCATTTGCTTCTGGGACACAGACAAAACACTCAAGCCTCCCCACTACAGCATAGCAGACATCACAATAATGATCCTAAGTTATAATCGTATCAGAAAAAAAAAAGGAAGAGGTGTTCATACTCAAGGCACAAAGCACTTTATTGTCTGAGGGACCGCAAGGAAAAGAAACCAACCTATGAGCTAGTAGAGAGGTGAAGCCTGGTTCAGACAAGCTGAACAAGTGGGCAACAGGAGCCTATGTAGTTCTTCATCCCTCCAGAGGATGTCATCGTAGAGCCACCAAAAAAGGCGAGTTTTGTGACCCAAATATGGAGAGGGTGAAAAAATGCCTGGTGTTCAGCCGCTCTTCGGACAATAGCCCCAAACCTCCCTGTTTACTTTCCCAGAAGTAACCAACTTTCTCTAGGCCAGTGTGCAACTTGTGGAAGGACAGGAGGAGCAGAAAAATCCATCGTGATTTGAGAGATGCACAACAGGTTAGCATGGAAAACAAGTGGGATGAACGCTCTAGGTGACTGGGCTGAAGAAAAGTACGGGGTGTCCATACACTTCCCAGTCATGCCTGCTTTCAACTTTTTTTGGTGTCCCTGAGCATGGATGAGTGCGTGGAGGATACATTCACACACAAGAAGGATAAGCAAAGAGAACTGAACGTGGAGATTGTGTTCACAGGTAGCAGGAACAGATTGCACTCAGCACCCATTGAGCAAGTGCACCCAGGGAAAAGCTGGTGGGAGGTCCATGTACTTGTTCACCCTGTTCACCCATTTCTGTGGTTTGTGTCACAAAAAGGTAGTCTTTGGCTTTGGGCATATTTGTCCTAGCAGCAAGCCACAGCCAAAAGGAAGAAGGACTAATGATGTTCATGACACATTTCTGTGAAAGCTTCTATCCCCAATGATATGCCTTAACTTTGAGAGTCTACAGCCACATTGGCTTTCCTACTGAGCTAATTCTAGCCTCTGCTGCCTTTGCTACTTCATGTGGGACACAGGGGCATACATACCTTTGCCACAAGACTCAGTCTAAGAAGACGGGAGAGGATGACGAGTGGAAATGCTGTACCAGTGATGCAGAGCACTAAAAAAGAGTCTCTAGGCTACTGTGCAATCTTTGAAACCGCCACAACTTAAAATACTGCTGCTGCATCCCAAATCACACACCTTTTCCCCGTCTCAAATGTCCGCATGGACAACGACTTGCTGATTGCCATACTCAGCTTGCCAAAGTGACTTGAGGTCCTCCGAGAAAAATAACTACCTGAGAGTAATTCTACAGTTATTGACACGATCCAGGAAGCTGGAAGGCAGGCTGTGTAGCTCAGCCCCTGTACCAAACACAGTGGGTTTAAACATAAGCAAGATAAACTACAGAGCATGTGGCCTTTACTGTATCAGGTCCCTTCGCCTGTGTTCCTCTGTGAGCATGCACCACAGCAGTTTTCCCATTAAAGCATACCAACTGGAAGAAAGTCAGCATCCCTTCCCAAGTATGATTTTATAAGTCCAAATCCAAAAGCTGACTCAGACTACATCCAGTGCTAAAGAAACACTTGCCAACAAACCATGCAAGCTGCATCTTAACCTCCTCCCTTCTTTGTTACTATTTGTTTCAGGGGGTTGGTTTTGTTTGGGTTTTTTTTGGTTGGTTGGTTGGGTGTTTTTACACAGATCAAATTTCCTGCCAACCCACTTTCTCAGTCAAACATGTTACAGAGGAAGTGGAGGGAAGGAGGAAATTGGGAACAAATGACCAGCAGCAAATGGCATTAGAAGGCTTAGAGAAGAGTCTGATCTTTAGCCACGCACACTGTCCCATTCCTACACAACAGAAGTGCACTCTAAAGCAAGGGAACCTCTACTGCGGGGAAAGGAAAAGTGGGGTTTTTTAGCTGTTGCTGTCTATGGAATCTCATCAAATAAAATATGCCAGAGCCCTAGACTCAGGAAGTCTCAAAGCTACCAAGTTCCTCCTCAAAAAAAAACTTTATTCGCCAATTCATGCCCAAAGCTCTTGCCACATGTTTTCACCTACTTCCCCTCCACGGCTCTGTAAGTGACCTAATGGAACCTTTCTCTGAAAAGCCCACCAGCTGTCAACAAGAGCTCTGGGCTAGGGCCAGGCTGAGGAAATGCCTTGCATGTGCCCTCCTTTGCTTTGTTCCTGATGTTTCCCTACTCCTCACCGGAGGAGAGACATAGCTCAGTGACACTGAATTCCCTTTCTCAACACCCATATTCCTGCCCTTCATCAGCACGTCTTGCCTTACTCACGAGAGCAGAGCTGTAACAAGGGCATGATGGGGTAACCTCTGTTTTGCTGGCATCAGAAGAACAAGCTGTAGGCAGGATGGCCAGCAGCACTTGGAAAAAGCACAAGGAGGGCAACTCTGTCATCAAGATGCCTCAGAAGAGCTCTGCTCCAGGCCTCCCTTTAACAGAGGACATACGAGTTAATAGGAAGGCCTGTTGGGTTTGTTCCAAAGTGAGTATGTGAAAGGGACCTGCATCCTCAGTTTTCCTTGCCCTCTGTTTTAGAAATGTTCAAGACTCTCTTAAGAGAATCTGCTGAACCGTTTTGGGTGCACTTGGGTTTTGGCACACAGAGACACAGGCTCATCCACTTGCTCACAAACCAGCAGCACTACATCTGGGAAGATCCCAGTTAGAGTGAAGACACAGAAAGTCACTTGCATGCCTAAGGTAGATGAAACTGGGATGCAAAATATTGCTTCCAAGAGAAATCCAGTAACCTGCAAAAACTTGCCAATGTGTTTGATGAAACCAGAAATTTATCATGAAAATTCCCTCGATATATTTCATTTTCTTTTTTTTTAAATTGAGCTCTCATCTACACCAATCTCTAAAAAGATGTTCACTTCTAAAGTGTGAAGAATCCTCTCACGGTTATTTCTCTGTCTCAGCACTCATATGTACAGTTATTTCTTGTGCTAGAACAAGTTTCCTTCTGAAGCTCTTTGGTGGAAGGTGATATAACCGTAGGTACAGACATTTAAAGTAACATCCATGGCATCCACTGTGGTGGACAATCCCTATTACACAGCTGGGTTTGAAGGCTGTCAGCAAACTCAAGCATTTCAGTAGTGACTTCCACTTACACTATAATAGCTTAAACCTTTGTTTTCTTTTTAATGATAAATAGTCACTCAGGAGCACTATCAAGTCATCTAACTGGTATTGGTTTTGTCGAGAAATGTGTATTGCAGAAGCGCCTCACTAGACACAATTTACAGGCCAAAACTCCAGCATATTAGGTGCTACACAAACCTGGTAAACTATCCTGTATCTTAGGAAATGCTGCTCTAGATCAATAGACAGAGATGTGCAGAAGAATGACGCAAGGGGCAAGTCAGTGGCAAGGAATGGATAGTATAGCAGAATACTGACAGAGCTATCATGGGAATAAAATGCAAAGCAGCTATTATTGTCACATCAAGGTTGCGCAATCAAAAGATGAAAAATGCAAACATTAGGATTCCTACAACAACCTTCTGAAAATGGCAATGCAGTCAGCTCATTTACTGTAAGGTCTATAGATAAGAACACATTTACAGGACTATTTTAAACTAGGTGTTGAAAAATATCCAGTAATGAGAACACCTTGCATGTGCAGCAGGGTAGAATTACCACTGCTGTTGAATCTGTAGGTTTCTGGTTTTAATAATCATTCTCATAATATCTGAGGGATTATAGAGAAGAAGCAGGGAAAATGAAACACAGAGAGAAAAATGCAAAATCTCTGGCAAAACGTCAGATTGCTCTAACTAATAATAACCTTCTGCTAGAAGCTGTTGATACAGGCTAAGAAATCTGTGCTTCCCAGTCCCCTTACGCCCTGGAAGTGTGAATGCTCAGACACTGAAATCTCCCATGCTCTGTCTATGGGGATCAGCACTTTTGTTAACTTCCTGACAGTTTCCCCCCCTTTAAACTTATTCAAAAGCCCAGGAAAGTCAGTGAGGACCTTCCTGGTGACCGCCTTAGATTTTGAATCTGGAATGAACATGCCATGTTTCAGATTGAAAAACCAATATATGATCAAAGTTAGGCAATTTTCAAAAGCCTTTTCCCACATCGCTCAAAGGATCTCCTCCACCAAATGACAGGAAATAAAACTCACCTTTGTCTAGAGAAGTAGAGACCTTGCAAGACTGGGAGACTGTACCTTCAAGGGCAGTGTGTCAGACTATTATGAATGAGAAAAACAAGGCCATAGTACCAGGGTTCACTACCAAACCAGCTGGCCTAATAACATGCAGGTCTTGGTTGCACAGTCGCTGCTTACTGCCAGTCATGTCAAGGATGAGAATTAACAGCCAAATTCATTGTAGTTACAGAATTAGGTAGTGATGGGGGAGAAGCAGCAGCAGGCAGTAAGAAGTCCTTTTTTTTTTTTATATGAATAAAGTTTTATTGAATTTTAGACAATTAGAAAGAACAAAGAAAGAGGAACAAACAGTCTCATGGAGGGTAGGAACCAGAAGAGCTTTCCCAGTAGAGGAGGGGGCCTGCTGAGGGCAGTGTTCCTGTAAATGTCACCCAGAGGTTGTTACAAAAGCAGAGAAAATGTGTCTGGTCTTCTCTTTTGATTGTTTTTCGTTTGGGTTCTTTTTTTTTTTTTTTTTTTGCCCTTCCACATTAGGTTTTCTAAAGCCATTCTTCTTCCCCCATCAATCCCACCACCCAGCAGCAAAGTGAGCAGACAGGTAGGAAAGAGGTCTCCTCCAGTGAAATGTGTGTACACACACACACACAGAGCAACCACTTCCCTATACCGCTGTGGGGGTTTGCACCCATTCTGGATGGAGTGGTGCAGAGGGTGAAGGAAGGGAGGTTGTTTGTTTGTTTGTTTGTTTTTTTCCTTTTTCTTTTCTATTTTATTTTAAGCAAAGAAGGCACAAAATCTCAGCCAAGCTTCAAACCTAGTGCTACCTAGGAGTCCCCAACTTCCTAAAAAGCCAGTGTGTCCATGTGGGAACCCAGCCCTCACCTCTCCCCTCCTCTTCCTCAGAGTCTGTGCTTGCAGTTGAAATGTGCCACTCAGGCAGAAGGCCCAAGGTTTGTGCACTGCTAGGGAAGTAAAGCTGTGCTGGGACAAGGAAAATGGGGATGAGGAAGAGTCTGTTGACTTAAGCAGACCCTTTTTCCAACGTGAGAGCTATGGAAAGTCACCTGTGACTCCCCACATTGCTTTTCCAAGAGCAGACCTGAAAGGACTCTGGTGCTTTTGAAGATGACCACTGCCTTTACATGTGCAAGTGTTGGTGTTATGCAGGAGGGCAGAGACACCCATCCAGGTGTAGCCCCTTTGAGCTAGTGCTCTCTAGGAGGGTAAGTTCCAGCCCTCAGTTCAGCTCTCCAAATGGCACCAAGTTCCTTCAGTGGTTTCAACTCTTAGCTTTGATTAAGGCTATTTAGTTGCAATAGAAAAAGGATAGGTGCCAGCCACAACCACCTCCCTAGCTGCGAGGAGATGGCAGAGCCACTGGCAGACGCCACCAGTATCCAGCCCTGGGATACTGACGGAAGTAAGGGAGGCAGAGAGGAGATAGCATGTGGGCTTCCACAGGGTTACCCCCTCCATTAAGCCCCTGCTTTCACTCTTTCTGAAGAATGGGGTTTCAAAATGAATCCTGCCAACCTCAGCGTCTGGGAAGCCTGTGCGTGTGGGAGAGCGGGAATTAAATCTGTGATGCCTCCGTGTGAGGGCCCCAAGCACAACACGTGCCCTGCCATGCTGGCTGGACTCGGATAGCCCGATAAGGAAAACTCACCACGCAAACACCAAAGCTGTGGGGTTTGAAGCCACTTGTCCTGAACAAGAGCAGCCCAGGGACAGTAGATGCCTTTGGACCTGCCCGCTGTTCTGCCACACCACCCTGATCCTCTCTGCCTCCTGAATAAACCCAACAACACCCAAAAAACCCCAACCATGAGCCCTACAGCAGCAGCAGCAACGATCCACCATCACCCTGCATGGAGTGTCTCGGGGAAGGATGCTCAGACATCTGCATCCTCCACAGCCACGAACAGGGCTCTGGCAGCACCCCAGGCTAGCGCAGGAAAAACACCTAAAAAAACACCTAGTCTGAGGAGGACCTGGGTTTGTGTCTGTGTGCGTCTGTGTGTGTTTGCGTGCCTGTTGGAGTGAGGGAAGAACTGAAAAAAATAAAGACAAGAGCTACCCACTCCGCACCTTCAAGCGGCCATCCCCTTGGCCGGGCTGATGGCTGTGATCCCACCTCTCCCCTCCAGCCTGGCCCCTGCCTCCTCGCAACCGGCCCTGCCGTACCGCCCTTCCTCATCCAACAGAGGGGCCAGGGCCAGGGGGAAGGGGGCTGGGGCCACCACGTTGAGGCATACCCTGCCTCAGCACCCCTCCCTGCCCTGGTGCAGGCTGTCGTCCTCTTGGAAATAAAACAGCAACAACAACAGAAAAAAAAATAATATATATATATATATCTATATATATCTCCCCGAACCTCCCTGAAAGACCCAAATGGATGAAATCAACCCCCAACAAAACCAACAGGAAACAAACGAAAAGTCCCTCCCAAGGCCAAGGCTGGGTGCAGCACGTCCCGGCTGGGGCCCAGCGGCTGAGGAGCATGTCCCGACCTCCCTGCTCCCCCAGCCTTGGCACATCTGCGGCGTCCACCGGTGCGAGGAGCCCCGACAGCCGCGGGGAGGGGATACGGCACGGCCGGGGCTGTCCCACCGGCCGGCAGCAGCCTCAGGAGGGGAGGGCAGAGGGGAGAGGCAAGCGTGTGTGTCCCCTCCGCCGCCTCGCAGCCTTTCAGAAAGGAGTATAGGGTCTCTTCACCCCCCCAGGTACGAGAGGCCCCTTGCTTGGCTCTTGGCCGCTGACATGGCCCTACACGAGGGAGCCGGCCCGGCTCTGGGCGGGCACCATGACAGGGACAGCCCCGATCCGCTCCAGCGTGGCCTGGCTGACGGCGTAGGAGCGGGTGTGCGGCAGCCGCGGCTTCCTGCTGACCGAGCCGTTGCTCCGCATCACCTCCTGAGGGGACGGCGCCGTGCTGGCCGTCACCACCAGCGTCTTAGGGGGAGCCGGGGACGGGTGGCCGCCATTGGCATAGACAGGGCGGGTGCTCGTGCTCCCCGAGCGGGAGAAGGGGGGCTGGTGGGCATCGTTGCTGTTGCTGAAGCGGGTGAAGGAGTCTGTGGCGTGGTTGGCTTTGGGATCATTCCAGTAGCGGCTGTTGTAGGTGTTGGAGGAGGTGAGGGTGTCGTTCTCCGATGAGGATGCATCGGCGTGGAATGTCTTTGTGGCGGAGGAGCATTTGGGCGGCAGGTCGTCCTCCCTGGGAAGGAGAAGGTGTGAAGGCACATGGAGGATGCTGCCCCACTTGCCCAAAACCCCCTGCGCCACACCCTGTTGGGGTCAACACCATCAGTTCAAGGTGAAGGACAGCACCAACAAGAATCAGCATTGCTCCTTGGCCTGTTTGCTCATCCCCTTCTGCAGGACCCACCTCTGTGCACTTTAATTGATCCATGTGCCTACCACTGACGCAAATGACGCATGCTCCTGTGTCTAGGGGGGGAAAAAAATCAGTGGTTGTCACAGCCACTGGTACCTCACAGGCAGTCAGTATGACTGTACAACCAGCGAAGCTGATACTCAGGGGAGCTGCAGGAAGCTACACCAGGGGGAAACACTGTGGCTGTAACACCAGAGATGATCACAGCTGTATCTCCAGAGCTGTTCAGCTATCACTGTCTGGTGTTGTGGGCCAGGATCCCCACCACAGCACTCTCCTACAGAGCTAACAACATCAAGTCAAAGCTCTCAATAAAGGTAATACTGAAAACGAAATCTGTTGTTACCATTCTTTTTGTTCCCTCCATTTTCTGGTCATATATGGACATCTTCCCCTGGCCCAGGGAAACACACCCAGGATTAGCAAGAGTGAGATTTCTGATTGCCTTCCTGCCAGCAGCTGCTTTTGCTGGGTGATCAGAGGTCCTCTGCCACCAGCTTTCTCTGACCCTTACCTTATCTCATTGGGAATCTCCTCCTCCTCTTCTTCTTTGTGTTTATTTTTCCAGTAAAACAGTGCCACGGCCACCAACACAATGCAAACAACAAGCACAACAGCGCCTGTGGCTACCGCTCCTGCGATCAGGCCGATACTCCGGGGGTGGGCTGTGGGGGCGATTGAACAGAGAATGGAGAAGAAATCAGGGCTGGGCTGTGGCCGACCATGAGCATTTGAAGTTACCGTGGCTTGGGAGGGGAGAAAGGCAACATCCCCATTCCAGGGCACAAGGATCTTCTGACAGAGAGGCACATGGTGGCTCACAGCAAACATGGTTACACACTTTACTGTCACAAGACAGAAGCAGGTGGCCAAGCTTCCCTTGGCAAAGTACTTACGTGCAATGACTTGCAGGTCCAGAAGGCAAGTGCTGGTTCCAATGGCATTTGAAGCCACACATTGGTAAAGACCTGAGGACACAGTGCTGATATTTCGGAGAGTGACAGTGCCCTGGACTTGGTCTAGTCAGAGAGAAAAGAAGGATTTAAATCCCTCCCCCCCCTTGAGGAAAACTATGAAAAGGCAAAGACAGCAAATAGAGAATTTCAGTGTGAGACTCTTAAGAGAGAAATAAATTAGCAAATAACCTTGAGATGGAAGCATTGTGCGTGCACACACACACACACACACACACACACAGACACACACACACACACAGACAAGATTAGGTCTTAAGGAGCTTACACTAGATGTTTCTTTTTCTTCTTATAGATGAATTTCTGCAAATGAAAGCTTGGGACTCTCAGCATTGTGTGAGAAAAGGAAGGAAAGAAGAGATGTGCAATTACCTATACCAAATCTACCTGCTAAATTCAATCCTTCCCTGCAGGACCCCTGATCTCCCATCCCTGGGCTCCCCATCCCCTGCTCTGCCTTATTGCTGAATTATGTAAAATTAAATGCTTGTGTATTCTTAAAATACAGCAAGATAAAGGGCAAAGATCACTACTTGGTCAGGACACCTAGACTAAGAAATCTTATGGATGGGACTTGGGACTGGGCAGTACCCAGTCTGATCAGAGACTTGCTTTTACACAAATTTGAAAGGCAGCTCTGGTAGTCATTTATTGGAAAACAGTGACCTCAGTGTGAGAAACTAGCAGTAATTTCCTGGGAAGATTTTGTGTCCCTTCTCCCACTTTCCAATCTATGAACCTTCCATTTGGTTTAAAATGCAGGTGAGTTGGCAGCTGAAACCTCCATCCACATGCCAACATCTGTCAACCATGTTCTCTCTACCATTCAACCAGACCCTTGTTCCTCAATGGGGAATATGTTTCTATACCAAAAAATCCATGAAAATTTAAGTGGCCACTGGAGGGTACCTAGTCCACCATGGGCTCTAGGAATCTTCGTTCCAATAAAGTCACCATGCATGTGACGGCAAACACTTAGTGAGCCATGCCATCTCTGGTGGCTCAGACAAAGGAGAGCCCAGGCTGTCACCTGGGAAAATAAGTGGGTAATCAACAGAAGGAGCACCTTGTGTGGCAGTTGGAGGCAACTTGGGAACATTGTCCAGTTTCTCCCAGAGGTATGTTGGCCGAGGAATGCCTTCTTCCGAGCTGCAGGTCAGTGTGATATCGCTGCCCACATCCAGGGACCCCTGGATTCTGCAAAGCGGGGCAGAAGGAGGAACTGCAAGAGAAGAGGGGAAGGTGACAGCAGATCAGGAAATATGACCAAACAGTGGAGAGCAGGCTCTTTCTGGACATACGTTGCTGAGGAAAGCAAGGACACTGGCATGAGCTGACAAGGGGACAAGAGGGATGCAGCAGACAAGAACCCATTAAGGTTTAGGGAGTGACAAACCATAAAGATTCCTGACCCCCAGCCCATCAAGGTCACAGACTATTGCTGACTTTCACAGGACCCAGTTCTCTTAGATCCCTCCCTAGAGAAAAAGGTGAACATTTCTGTCTTTGAGGCAACAAGGGTGGTGAAAGCTAACAGAGCTGCAGACAGAATTTGCTGTGGTTGGGTTTTGCTTTCATATCTCTATAATGACACACACTCTGGAGTATTTAACATCCTAGGGAGCATCCAGTACTAATTCCTTTCATGAAAAGGAAGCAAAGATCTGAAGTCATTCACTTCTCCTGTTGCTATGCACAAAACTCTTATGGTCCCACCAGCTCTCCAGGATGCCCTCATACTTTATTCATGCTTCTTTGCAACTCCACATCACAATGTTGCCACAAAAGCTTTCTCTCCGCCGTATTTTAAAGCTCCATTATATGCTACCTGCATATGAAGGCTACATGCCCTACAAACTCCCACAATACCCACAAGGCAGCCAATCCCTCACCACAGGATATCCATGGGCTCCAATGCATACAGAATCATACGGTGCTGCTGTGATACACTATCACACACAGAGGATCCCCTTGTCCCTGTTCCTCCCCTCTCCCCCATAATACCAGTAAACACACCCAAGACAGTAAGTCCAATGACTCCAATATTCCTGACACCTCGGTCGGGAAGGTTGTTGACCAAACACTGGTATGTGCCAGTATCCGACAGCTGAGTGTTGTTGATGAAGATGGAGGCACTGGTGGTTGGCATTGTCACAGCAAACCCCACTCGCCCATAGAACTGGGGTGCGCCACCAAAGATCTGACCCCCTTGGTAGAGAATGACCTGGAAAAGAAAGGAAGGCTCAAACAACACTCTGCAGGAGCTGAGCAAGGAGGAAGAACAGCAAGCAAAACACGGGTTTCCAAAGTCAAAAGGACCAGTTCCTAGAGTATCTCTAAATAACCAGACATCAATATACAGATGGGCAGACCCATCTTAGCAAAGGTGTTTTCTCTAAAAGAGGAGCACACCCTGTAGCCTGTTTTATGTCAATAAAAATGTTTACAGAGGTAACCAAATAGATACCTAAGTCTTCTGGTATAGCTGGATTGGCAATACCAGCCTGCTTCATAAATAGTCATTACGCACCCGGACAGGATTGATGTAGAGAAGCAGAGACTCTCTGCAGGTCAGTGAGTACTTTGCTGGAAAGCATCCACCCAGTGGACAGTATCATTGTGAGTCTCAGTCAGTAAGATCCTGTCATGATTTGAGACTTCTTACTGAAGATCATTGGGGTAGATTGAATGACAGGCAATGCAACCCTAGAACCCACACAGTATCTACCAGTCAAACGGCTTATATAGCAGCCTGTACTCAGGCCGAGTCCCTGAGGAGCAAGTACTCTTCAGTGCAGGTTCTCACAACTGAATATCAAATGCAAGGGAGCAGTGTGATCCAAGACAGGTGCTCTTCAGAGCAAAGGCATTTTTCTGCTGTCAGAGTATGTGGGCAAAAACCAGGCCAGCAGATCTCAGGTTGTGATTCTTGTGCCCACCATGATAGACTCTCATATGCTAATGTTCATGAGAATGGACTTGCATAAGCAACAGTAGGTGAAAAAGTAAGATGGGAAGTAAAAGGGGAGGTGTCTATGAGAGGCCATGTGTTATGGCACATTTTACACAGATTCTACAGGTTTAAAACTGCAGCTGCTCCCAGGTCCTCCAAATCCCATCTCCAGAGCACCAAAACCTGATTACATCTCCTGTTCTCTTTTGAATACGCAAACCACCGGAGCTCCAGGGCAGCAATACAGTATTACATACACCTGCCCCAATGGCACATCCAGTCAAGGCAGCCAAGGACACAGTGTGCATCAGTTAACAAAGCACTGAAGAAATCAAATTCATGTAAGATCCAGATGGCATGTTCAGCAATGAAGGGACAATGAAGTTCTGAGACAACCAGAGACTCAGCATTGTAAAGGGTCTACATCCAGATTAGCACGAAGAGGGTGAGGAGAAGGAAAGCTCCAAAGAATTACATGCTGCAGTAAGAAAGGACCTACCTGTTGAGGCTGGTTGGCATTAGAAAGAGGAATGACCATCCAGATGACATTAAGGTTAGTGAGAGCAGCGTTAGTGGTGAAGGTGCAGGGCAATACTGCTGTCTGGCCTCGGGCAACCTGGATACTCCCTGAACTGACTGACACCTCCAGAGGACACACCAGACCTGGAAAGAGAAGGACACCCAGTTCAAGCATTTCAGGAGAAAGACACCCAGTTCAAGCACTGCAGGCCGCCCCATACACTTGCAGGTCTTGACAGCAGCATCCTGTTGTCACACAACTGTGCCTTACCAGTTACTTCAAGCTAAAAAGAATTATATTCCTCCCTCAACAGATCCGCCTGCTCTCATGCAGACCTTTTTCACAGGTGAATGCAGATAGGAGGTCTTTTTAAGTGAGAGCACTTTAGTTTCAGAGCCTCTGAAAACAACAGGTTTTGTTTTGGCAACAGGGAAAGAGCTGTAAGAGCAGCCAAGCTGCATCTGAGAGATAATGAAATATGTTTTGTTTTCAAACCCATCAATCTTAATGATATCCAACATCACTGAAAGAGAAGATGAAACTGCATTCACCGAGGGGTAAGAAGAGAGAAACGCCATTAACGCCCCCACTTCACTTCTACACCTCATGAAGTCCAGCATGAGCAGAAACATTATAATGCTATTTTTAATTTAAACAGCTAAAAATATAAATCTTTCCAGTCCAGGTACTTCTATCTAACTGGTGAAAAATGACTACTGATAATGGAGCATCTCATCAAATCTCATTTATTTTCCAGCATTTCCCCCACTCACTTCTTTTGATCCCACACAGGCCGGACTGGACTCAAAGCCTGATCAGCTCCAGTTTCCCAGCGCAGAAGCTGAAGGCTGCAGTTATTATACTGCAAGTCACACAGGGAAATATCTCCATTCCTACTGCCAAATTCTTGTCAAATGAAACTAACCAAGGAGTTACCACCACCATTTTGAGTAGCACTAAAATTCTTTAAACGATTTTTCCCCACAAAATCAAAATATTGACTACAAAACCCATCTCTCTATATGACAACTCACAATCTTCTTCTTCAAAGGATGTGGGAGGCTGCAGGAGGAGAAGGCAATATTTTTCCAGCTCCAAGGAAATAACAGAGTATTGCTATCACTCAGGTGTGGTCTGTGGACCACCCTATTCTCTTGCTGATTCCAGGAAGGGCTGCCAGCAAAGTTTCTATTTTCTGCCAAGAGACATTGGTTTGCTGAAGGTGAAATGCTTCATGAGAATAGGTTTCTATCTGAGCTACAAAGAAAGTGAAAACACTAATTTCTGAGAAAAAGGTGAGTAGTCTCCCGCATGCTTGTCTGCTGGGATCCTTCCCAGACTACCTAAAGGAGAGATGGAGTGTTCAGAGCCTGGAAGCGCTGAGCTTCAGGTGCTACAGGTCCAAAGTTTCTAGCACCTGAACAAGCCTATGATGAGTTCCTAGGTTTGGACTGACTGCTCTGGAGTAGCAGTACCCCGGGACCTTGAAAATCCTCAGCAGATTCTTCTAGACTTCCATTCCCTCCTCTGTATCTCCCACCTCCAAAACCCCAGGTAGTTCAGGAAGGATCAGAAGTGCTTCAGAACAGAGCCAGACAAAATGCCATTTTAATCTAAGTGAAATTCATGAGTTTCTTACTTTGTGGAAAAAAACCCAAGTCTGACTTTCCTCACAAGCTTGGAACGTATTTAAAAACATGGAACACTGAGAATTCCTAGGGAAACAGTTCATCTCTGGTACTAACATCTCAGAGAATTAGGTGCCTGGATGAGGAACAGCTGTTGAAAGCTTAATCCATCAATCTCCTATGAAGGGCTGTCGGCGACAAGCAGAAGATAATAATTTGAAGAGCCAGTAGTAAGCATCACCTTTGTTACAAGGCATGTGCCTTGCAGTTGCATCTGTGGTCAACCGACTGGGAATGGTTTTGGACTCCTCATTTGCTTATGGCTGGCCAGGCAGTGGCAGTAGCCAAAAAAATGTAAGTGAACAAAAGTATCAACTTTGGAGATGTCTCTTACAGAATATGACCCTGACAAGGGGTGGTCTTTTCTGCAGGCCTAAAGTTGAAGTCTTCCTTGTCATGACTACTCACCCAGTCTTGCATCATCCATGTGCTAAACAGTGTGCAGGATGTCTTGGTAATTTGGACACTTACTGAATTAACCTCTCTTTTCAACATGGTGTAGAAAGCTCTTCTGACATGTTCAGCATAGATTTAATGAGATGCTCTCCATGAGAGGAAACCCAATTTCTCATTTGCTTTGGAATAGCAACACGTGTTCTTCAGCCCCATCTCTTACCCCCTCCACTTTCCCCTCCAAAAAGAAAAAACACACATTCAAATTCCTGTCGTTCAAAAAAGTAATACTTAGGTGTGAATATTTACTAAAAGCAAATTTACTGGAAAAGTCAGAGTTTACAGTCTGCATTGCAGGCTTAGTTACATCAGTCACTCAATCATCAGGATGATGTGATTTTCATACCTAACCACCCTCTTGCTACTCCTAATATTTACTATTAGTTGATTGTAAACATCCTGCAGAATAATAAAAACACTGAAATAGAACATGCATAATTTCTTCACTGTAAAAATAATTTCCAATACATTTGAGAATTTCCCAATCTACTTATGAACAATTTAAAAAAGGAAAAAAACCACATAATATTCCCTTTGCTCTGCCAGTACCCCACAGCCCCCATAATCTCCTTCCCATTTCAAGGCACCACAGCATCCCTTTTAGTTTGAATGATGTGGAGTGGTTTCGAGGCAGCAGGGACATTAAGGAAGAGATGAGTTCCCCGTCCATTTCTCTTGCCAAAGGGAGCTGTTCTTACTTGGCATGCAAGATGAGCACCCACACACACACCATGCTGTCCTGTCTCAGTCTTGTTAAACCACTGGGCGAGCCAGCTCCTCAGACTTGCCTTTGCCTCTTACATCCCAGGGCCTGTCATCTGCTCTTTGGCCCAGGATGAATACAAAGCAGGCAGCACATAAAGATAAGGACTCGTTTTGTTAAGCTAAATGGCACCTGCAGGGCTCCAGCTGGGGAAAACACTCACAATGGCTTCTGACAAGTAAGCTTAAACAAAGTGACAGGAGAGTCAGGAGACCAAATGTAGGAAAAGTCCTCTTCCACCACCATAAACAGGGAGGTAGGCTGGTGAACTAACACAACACTGGAGGGGGCATTACTACAACGCAACTCTTCTCCCAGAGAGACAGCTGAAAGAGCAAAGATCAGCTTCTCTTCAGAAGCTACAGCGTCATTCTTTGTCTCTCAGACTACTAGAAAATGTAACACATGCATGCATTTGCCCCTCTATGCAAGTACCTACATGACTGCATCCTTCCACACCAACACTCGTGGCCCAAAACGCAGGCGGATGCACACAGAGACAGATACACTTATAAACCTGTAGGGCCAGGAAGACACCTAGTAGGAAAACTCAACCAAACGATACATGTTTAAACATTTCAAAATTAGGAGTTGCAAAAATGTGGCTTTGTATTAATGCAAAAGGAGGGAGGCAAGGGAGAGAGGGAGGAAGAGATTTTAAATTTAACATATCTATTGGGATAAGGATTTTTCAATGCAGCCTAAGGAATGAGGACTGGAATTCCCTTGGGTAGGTATAAATGCAAATATAGATATATGCACACACATACAGCCCAGTCTACTAAGTCAAATTACACATAAGAGGTCAGAAAAATCAAGCAAAGAATGTTGTAAAGGGTCTTCTTTTGCAAGGGTACGCAATCCAGATCTTTTCTAAGCACTCAGAGAACTTTAATGACTCGTGAGAGACAACAAGAATCGATCACCACCAAATCGTCTCTTAGAGTTGCATTACCATGGCCATTACACCCTCTCTTGTATGTGCCCTCTCCTCCTTAACTTCGTAATTAAGCATCCCTGTAAGCAGCATGCCTGGAGGAAGAGCAGGGTACGCCACTGTCAGCAGAAAGAGGAACGGGCCCTTCCTGTACATAGGACACTTTGATCTTAGCTTTATTCAGTAAACGGCTTTCTCCTTTGATCCTGATGCAGCAAGCTCCCATCACTAATTAGAACTAATGCTCCAATTTTTTGTCCCCTATCAGGGAACCAGCCAGCAGAACAGTGTTTTGGCTACAGAGGCTCTTTTAGAGCTTCTTCATATTCCAGGACCAAGTAATTATTCTGGCCACAGATCACTCTGATTTAATTTTTGATGGCTCACTGCTGCTTTTCCAAGTAACATGCTCAGCTTCCTCGCCTCCATCCATGAAGGAGTCCGTGTAAACAGTTCATACGGCATGACACAAACACGTAGGGCCCAGTTCCGCAAACAGCATTTGCCTCCCAGCTGGGTATGAGACGGAGGCAGATGCTGCCACAGGTTTGCTAGCTGCCCTACAAAAGTTGCAAGCCTGAGAGGCTTCAGAATATACCAGGTGCAGAGAAGCTGAAAAACACGGGCACGTCTTGGCACTTTGACTCATACTAAGTTGACTGAAAATGTTCCCAGCTCCCGCTCACTGACACACTTCTCTGCCAGAGATCACCAAGAAGACCAGAAAATTACTTTGGCTGACAGCCCCGTGAGTGAAAGGAGCACTTCCACCACCAACAGGCCAGATTATAACATGAACAGCCGATCGCACAATCACCAGTCCACATCACCACGATGACAGATGGTTGCAGCCCACGGGGGCCTCAGAGGCTGTGCCTTCAGGAAGCACTGTGGTCACGCTCTTGAAGCTGTGCTAAAGGCACGTCCTTCTCTACTGCTGGATCATCCCCAGCACCTGGTTTTCAGAGGCAGCCATGCTCAGCAAGATATCTGGATATCTCTGGCTGGGTTGCAGTACAGTGCACAGAGATGGTCTTCCCCCACTGTATTTAGTTTAGGAGAGTCGATCTCCCAGGACCACAGGAAAACAGAAGTTTATTTGGAGGGTCACTCATATCATGAAAATCAAGCTCCTGCCCTGCCTCACCTTCTGGAGGACAATCTCTACTTTGCAAGTGCCCACAAGGGTTGTCAAGTCAGCAGCATTTGGCACCTGCTAGCAGAAACCTCCTGATACTCATTGGCGTGGGAGGCTGGGCTAGCATGACTTTGCATATGCAGAGGCCAGGGTACAAGTTTGCT